GCCCTCGCCCGCTGCTCCCCTGCACCGACGGGCGGCCCCGCGGGGGCTGCTCTGCGCCCCTCCAGGGGAAGCACCTGTTAGACCCACGGCGCCGCAGGGGGCACAGTCCCATTCTTGGCAAAGCCATAACCCCCTGTAACCGCAGACTGAACATCTGTCTTCCCAGCACACCCTTCCAACCTAACAAAACTGCAAACCCTGGCCTGGTTCAATGACAAATTAACAGGGCACACATTGCAGATGGCCTTTATTAACACTGAACCTATTCCTCATACAGGTAGGTTTGCTCAGCTAAGGCAGTGAGGTACACCTACATCACATTAATTTAAATACACTATTACTGTTGTCAATAAAGTGAGTAAAGGGCTTCCATGTTATCGACAGAGAGGTCAGGGAGTTGGGTGACAGTTTTGATTCCAGCAACTTTCCAGAAGAGGGCTCCTGCCTCCAGTGGTTACAAGTGGACAGGAGTTTGTATGCAGACTCTTGGCTGTGATGCGTTCTGTGGCTGACAGTATTTATTACTAATATTTAGCACATCATAACAGTGCTCTGAAGACTTTACAAACTGCTAGTGCAATCCTTACTGCAGGCCTTGCAGAGAGGTCAGCATTATCCTCACTTTACAGACAAGGAACAGACTTCCCAGACGTACAACAAGATTGGAGCTGGCATTACAACTTCTAAGCCCCTGTCTCTCTCTCTCCCTTGTTTAGATCTCTAACCCATGATGCTTCTTTTAGTTTGTTAATGCCTCAGCAAGGGGATTCAGAAGGAATGATGTGCAGCGTCTTTGTCTCCAGCGATGTCACTAGAGTGAATGGGAGCCCGGTGACCAGGCTGATGAGAAAAGGAGAGAGTTGACAGCATTCGCTTCTTACCTGTGCAACGAGCCAGCACAGGGACATGGAATCAGTTCTTCAGCTCGCCAAGGCGGAGCTCAGCAAAGTCCGTGGCCAGCTTCAGAGCCTCCTGCAGGCACCCAACATTTTTGCCTGTTGCCTGGGCTGAGACATCTTTCCCACCACCTTTGCCATCTATCAGTGTTGACACTTCCTGCACCCACTGGTTGGCCTTCAGGCCCTTGTTGGCTGCTTCCTGGAAAAGAAGAGGGCAGAGTTTAGGTTATTACAATACAACAGCGTTTGCTGCTGGAGGAAGATGCCTAGATGAACACTACTTCAGTAACTGTATCTGATGGAAGAACAAAGCTCTACCTCCTTGGCAGTTCAGTACTTACATTTGGAGCCATACAAGAAAGCAAGGTAATTTAGCTGAGACAGCTATGCTAATGCAACGACTACTACCAGTACCCGTTAGACGTGATAATGAGAGAGACAGAGGACACATGGAAGCCCCATTGCTGACTGCCTGAGCATAAGCTGTACAGGAAATCTGCAGGTCCTACTGCTAGGAAGAGCTCTTAAGCTCAGCCTGAAATGCTTTGGGCAGACACACCCAAAGGGCTCTGGAAAAGTGTTACCTGAGGTACTTGGCATAAGCAGGTGATCTTGCCAGCTTCATTATCTACTGCGAAAAGCATGGCAGCAGTCTGAGGAGAATGAGTCTTGAATAGCTTCAGAGATTCATTCAGGGCCTGTAGAAGGAGATACAGAGAAAATTACACCAAGAACCAGCCGGCATCATTCATCTTTCAGCTGGCCTGGCAACACATGCTGCAAATCCCTACACCGATTCCTTTGCTGCTAGATAGCTACAACAGTCCTGCTGATACCAGCAAACACACACTACTCCCAGGCAGGCATTCTGAGTCAGTATCTTCTGTACCTCGCTTTTAATGCAGCAGTCTGCATCTCTGCAGTGCTTGGTTTCTGTTGGGTGCAGTAAAGCTGCGTGTACCCTTCTTGAGGCTGGCTGTGGGCATCAGAGGAAGAGCAGAAGCAGCTTGCTTGCCTGGTCACACCAGACTCACTGCCTGGAGATCTGAGCTTCTGAAGTCACATAGAGACATGGCTCCCTAGCTTCACTCATGTTCCCTGTCCAGCAGCAGGACTGGAGCAGGAGAATGCTCAGTGCCTGATTTGTTTCCCATCTTGGATTGTTTGGGGCCAACAAATGTATGGCTCTGCAACCATAAAGCAAGTGAAAATGATCTGCAAGCAAGTGATACATTAGGAAGGGGAAGGGACAGCAGCTTAGGACAGAGGTGGTGTGAGCCTTTCCTTAGCAGGCTGCTGGACTGAGGTAAAGGGCAACCCATTCTGGGAGACCTGGAAACTGCTGTGCCTACTGCTACTCTCTACTTAAGAGCAGCTGGAGTCAGCAGGGATGGAGGTCAGAGTGCAAATGCTACAAGGATACAAAAGTCTTTCCCACAGCACACCTAGACTAATGGACTAGGTATAGGCAAGTCCTTGAGTGCCAGGCACCCACTATTTGCAAAAGATTTGACACTTCATATCTCACATAGAAAGACCTGCTGTATTTAGAGAGCTCCTGAGACAGGCTAATTAGAGGTCATTTGATGATGCCTTAGGGGACATATTCACAGCTCCGCCTGTACAGCTGGCTGCTGCAGTCCCCAGGGGTCACGCAGCACACTGTTGCAATCCACATGCTGTGTGCTGCTGCCATCCCTTAGGGGTGCAGGCAATTGGCTACTGCGCAAAGAATGTGCCAACAGCTCAATGCAGAGATGCTGCTGGGCCTGCTGCTGGGAACACTGAAGATGCAGCATCTGTACCAACTGCAGTAATGGTCCCCAAAACAAAATAGCAATTTTCCCCTCCCACACAGACATGAACAGCATTTAGATACCATGGAGATGAGAACCATATAAGAGGGTGAGTGGGAGCCTATAAACAAAACAGGATCAGCTGGGAGTTTGCCCATGCAGAAATTTAAATTGGGGCATTACAACTTGATGGTTAGTCTACAGTATCATTAATTGCCACTGTTCATTTCCTATTGTTGCCTGGCAGCAGCTCATCACTGCTGGGACCAGCAAACAAGGGGGTTTACCCACAACAAGCTTCTCTAGGGGGTAGGAAACCCCCCCTTCCACCTTGACAAGAATAGACAGATTCAGCTCATGATGTGAGACAGAAGGGTAGGGACAGCACTGGTCTGTGACAAGCCCAGCTGGATGGGTTGCAGAATCCAAGAAATGGGAGCTGGAGGAGGACAACACTTTTCTAGCACTCATTCAAGGCTCTACCTAGCTGCTGTATGGGAGCCAGTGCAAGATGCACTGCATTTCTCTGCAATATCCCAGCTGACAGAGCTTCATTGCTTTTCTTGGGTAACTACCCTGCAGGCCCCACTGTTAGAAACATTTTCAGCCTGCATTTTCCCTCATCTTCTAATTCCTAGCCACCCACTTGGGTGGCCCTTACTTGAAGCAGGGATCCCCATCCTGATCCAGACACTAGAATCTGAGATGGTGAAGAAGAGAGCCTGAGGGACAAACAGAGGTGTTGCACACTTCTGGGTGGGAGGTGGCTTTGGTTAAGCCAGCAGAAAAAGTGCACAGACATAACGTGAACTAATTATGCCCTCCACGACCATCTCAAAGCCCTGGCCATGGTTGGGCACCTGCACAGCAGGCTCTGTAATACATGAGGCTGTGAAAATCCCCCCTCCATTCCAGGGGCCACAAACGGAGAGGCAGGTTTCTGAACTTTCTCAGGGAGTCCTAGACACGGGAATGGAGAGTATTGGGACTAGCTGTGTTACCTTTGCTGAAGCGCCACTCTCCATTTCCAGAATTACAAGTGGCTGGTTAGGGTGACTGTCAATGAACTGCTTGGTCTTCTCCAGCACCTGGAAGAACAAGCAGATGTTCAGACAGATGTGAACAGACACAAAAACTGTTTTTTGCACACAAGGGCTCACCAGGCAGACTGAAAGAGGTGCAACAGCTAACCTGCACCAACTTCTAGTCACTGATCACTGACCATTCTGTACAGCTGATATGGACCCAAAGGGGAAGGCCCAGGCTGCCAAAGCAGGAACAAAGTGTGGAAGAACATGATGCAGCATGTGTGATTTGAAAGGAGGCAGCACTGCTGCGTACCCCTTCCCAATAGTCACCAACTTGAGTCAGGAACAGCAGCAACCAGCCCGTTCACCTGCACCTGACAAACATCTTGCCACAGTGTGTGTGCAGGTATCTATTTTGGGCCAGGAGCACTATCCAAGCACTAAACACAGATCACTCACTCTTCCAACCAACAGAAGAACTGCCAAATTTCAGAGGGACAGTCTATTTGCTCAGCAGCACTTTGGTGGTCTATTAAAAACACCATTATTGCTATCGTGGGGTTGGTACCTCAATGTTAGTTGCTGAAATGTAGGAGGAAGGGAAGAGGATTAAAAGAGATTTCAAACAGAAAGGATAGCTCTGCGGAGCAAAGAGAAGCACCTATTTATTTAGGTTGGGTGTGGGAAGCAAAACCCATGCTTTGATGTCCACAAGATTCACTACAGAGCTATCCTGGCCCCTAATCATTCATCTCGAGGGCTCACCCGTTTCTGAATATCTGCTTTGCTTGCACGATCCAGGTCATCCATGACCTTCTTCAAAACTTTGAGAGCCTCTCTCAGCTCATCCTTCTGCCACTGTGGGATAATGGCAGTAGCCAGTGTCTGGAAGCAAAGAGAGAGGAGATTACAGCTTCAGTCCACTACAACCGGAGGCTACCCTACATTATCCTAATAAATTCATTTTAAAATCAAAGGCACTTGACTTGCAAAGCCCAGCAAAAGCTCCCTTCCAACAGGGTGTGCAAAGGAGTTAACACAAAAAAAAAAAAGAGATGTGACTGGTTTCTAAATGTCTGCTCTGACTGTAGTTCTAGTCATTCATTTATCACTTACTACTGCTGCTGCGAATAACTGAGGCCTAGAGACCCACTGACTTAGGGCTGCCTGGAGTTTGTGGAGCAACAGAGAACTGAACCAAGGTCTCCCAGGTCCCAGGCTGTTGCTCAATCTACCTTACTGCAAAGTGATGCTCCCAGTTGAGAACACCAGGTATGGCCTCACACTGCTCTCCTCACATCAAATTGATGCCTGGCTCCAAGAGGAGGGCCAAGGTCCCGATCCTTACCTCACTGAGGTCTGCAATCTCCTTCTGCACTTCCTTGTTGGGAGCTGTCTGTACCTTTACTTTGGCATCCAGGGCAGAGAGTGATTTCTTGAGGCTGTCCACTTTCCTGAGTGCCTGGGGGAGGACAATTCAGCTCAACAACTATGTCAAATACAGAGAATGACTGAGTACACTGGGCTCCGTTCAACCCACGTGACAAGACAGCAGAAATGTTCCAACCCAGCAGAGGCAGCTCTAGCAGCATCAGACGCAGGAGAAGACAATGCCTGTCTAGTCATCTCAGACTATTTGCCAGTATCACACCCTTTAATTACAAACACCAGTGACTGTCAGTCCCCTTTCCACACTGGACGCTGTCAGGTAGTTTAAAAAAACAGAACTGAACCTTACCAAAGTGTACCTCCCTGGGCCTGACTAGAACTTCCTCCTGATCAAAGCCAGGGATCAGGGTGTGCCCTGCATGAGGAGGATGGGGAACTCTTGTAATATTTAGTCTTTCAATATAAATGCAGACAACCATTTAGTGGATGGCTCTACAGATTGGCTTCTGTCTCCATAGCTCTGCTCAGGAGCAGTGTTATTTTTATGCCATTCACTTTGTAAGCAAAGAGAACACTATATAAATCTATTGGGCCAAAAAGTGGAAAAACCATCCTGAGCTAACACTGTCACATGGGGCACCAAGAATGTAATACCAGCCACTGAACGGCTGGCAGGAGCCATTTCTTTTCAGTCTCCTGCCCCTCTGGAGTCACCCACCTGACCCGGCACAGCTGGAGAACAATATGAGAGGCCACCACAATCATTTGGTACTGAACTGGCATGGAAGCTTGTTGCTCTGCCACCTTGACTGAGCTTGAGTGTGTACAGCAGGGGATGGCAATTATTTCAGCTGGAGGGTCGCTTATTGAGTTTTGGGGAGCTGTTGAGGGCCACAAGGGTAGCCCTACCCTTTGACAGATGCCCTGCCCCCTGGCTGCCATCTTGGGACTGGAAGTCCCACCCCCTAACCCCTGAGCTTTGCTACCAGAAGTTCCTTCCCTTGCCCCCAGCAATACTCCTTCTGGGAAGGGGGCTTGCCATCTTGGAACTGGAAAAACCCCTCAAACAAATTATATACAAAAAAATCAAACACTGACAATAACATATTTTAATTTTTTTTTTAAAAATATTTTTGTCCTGATTTGTGTGTCTTGTGTATATAGACATGATTTCATAATAGCTCAAAAAGAAGTTTACTCTTGTATATTGTATGGGGTGTGGAGGGGTGGGTATGGGTTTTGTGGGGGACTGCACGCGTTTGCGTGTGCGTATGTGGTGAAGGTGTGGGGGTGTATGTGGATGTAGTGGGGGCTGCATTTGTGGGTATGTGCAGGTGTGTATGGGGTTTGTGGGGGAAGGAGGGTGGCTGGAGGAAGGGTGTGGGGAAGGGGGATGGGGTGTGTGGTGATGCATGTGTGGTGGGGTGTGTGCACATAACAGTGAGCAGGGCTCCTCCCAGAGGCATGTGGGTACATGTGTGGAGGGTGCATGTGGGAAGGGTTGCGTGTGGTTGCGGTGTTTGTGGGGTGTGTGATTGTGTATGGGGAAGGGTGTGGTTGTGGGGGAAGGTTTGAGGGTATGTGGGGGCATGCATGGGAGCCCCCTGCATGCACCCATCTGAGGTGGTCAGCACCCGTCCCTGCCCTGCAACAGCTCGGAGCCCATGCGCCCTGCAGCACCTCTCCACCGCTGTCAACAGCGTGCTGCCCTGTGCCCGCTCCAGACTCACCCCCACTGGAGTAGATCAGCTGGAACCTGTATGCATGCCCCCAACCCAAACCTGCCCCACACCATTCATCTGTGGTGTGTCTTGCTGTCCCTTGTGCACACAGTGGGGCTGGGGCGGTTCCACAGCTTTTCCAGGCAGCCCAGGTGGCGGTGGTTCCTTCCGGCTGCTGCCACTACTGGCCCCAGACCTGTGGTACCAGTGGGGACCTGTGCTGTACAGCCCCAACCCTGCATGCCCTGGGCTTGCCTGCCCAGGCTCAGCAACAGGGGCGCGAGACAGAAACTGTTGCTCAGCACAGGGGAAAAGCAGCCCCTTGTCCTCGCCTCTGCTGGCTGCTCCTGCTGCAGCTGCCCAGAGCCTGCGCCATGCCGGGCTGCCCTGCTTCTGTTCTGTGCTGCCACTGCTGCCCTGCTGGGCATCCCAGAGATGGTGGTGGCAGTGGCAGAAATGCAGGGCAGCCTGGCACAGAGCAGACTC